GGACCCCCGCTCAGGGCCGAGGAGCACACGGGGAGGCAGAAGCCGGTCACTCCGCTGGACACCGGGCGGCAGGGTGACGCTGGGCAGCGGGTTGAGCACCTGCCGGAGCCTCCGTTTGTTACTCTGCTCCCTTCGCACAGTTTAACATTGGGCCATTTGTCTTTTTCTTAGCGCCTTTGTAAGAATGCTTTAGAGCTTAAAGACACTAAGAGTTGGTGTCTGTTATTTGGTGTCTGTTATCCCGTGTCTTAGTTTTCTGTTTTTATTTTGAAAAAGTTTGAAGCGCCAGAAGAGTGGGGGGGGGCTGACCCCTATCTGTGCACCCTCTAGACTCACCAGGGGTCAGGCCGCTCGCTGGGGCCAGGGTGGCACCCAGAGGTGATGGCACAAGCACCCACAATTGCCCCTGCACAGGGCCCCACCTGGAGCTCAGTGCCGCCTTCTCAGCTGCCCCACCCCTCCCTGCCCACTCTCAGGAAGCCAGTGGAGGGTGAGCCCCACATTATTGTCGCGCCCCTTGGTCTCCTTCAGTTCCCAGGCGCCTCATCTCCCGGACCGGACACCCCAGGCTTGCTGGTTACTGTGCAGACTGCTCACTTTTCGGGGTTCCAGCAGTCACATCTCCCACAGGAGGGCCACAGGGAGTCACGGGCACAGCAAGCCAGCGTCCCCCGTGACTCAGGAGGCTGCTGGATGATGTCTGGGAAGGTCAATGCTGTTTGAAATGTGTTTTAGGATTTTTAAGTGGTTCAGAACACAGATATTTCTCTCCGGTTTTGCAATGAAATTACACTTCAAAAAACATTGCTCGTACTATGGATTAGGAATAACTCACGGATTTCCTCCAGTTATCGTTTTTACAACCAATTGTTTGACTCTGAGTCAAGTTTGGTTCTGGGCTCCGGACAGAAGGTGGCCGTGGCCCTGCTGGGTCAGCGTGCTGACCTCTCACTGGCGCTGCAGCCGTATTCTAGGCACCGACAGGTGGCGCTATGTGCTCCTGGGCGCTCTGTTCTGTCGTCTTGACCCGTCAGTTCTGTTCCAGTGGGGTTTACAGGGGGATGCCCTCATATGGAGACCCGGTATGAAGCTCTCTAAGAGGAGGACTAACTGTTCTGGATGAAACGTGAATTTAGGCGGAGTGGGGGGGTCTGTGAGACGCCCAGAGGGCCGGCGCAGAGCCGGCAGAAGGGCAGTGACAGGGGACCAGCCCCTGCCAACAGAGCGCATCCTCCCACCCCCCAGCAGCACCCCCAACCACCCACCTGCCCCAGCAGCACCCCCCCCCCCATCTTGGCCCCTGTCAGTCGCCAACATCTCTGTCAAGCTCCTGCTGGGGAGAGCGATCTACCCTGCAGGGTCGCCATCACCCTCCAGGCCTGGCCTGATCGGTCCCAGTTTCCTTAAGGCCTCAATTTTCAAAATCCTTGTTTATCTTTGCTGTGCGAGGACACGAAAACGAGTTAAGCGTTCCCAGGTGAAATTGCTTGACAAAGAATTTCCTTCTTTAAAATCTCAGTGTTAGCACCTTGCTCTTGGGCAGCTTCTGAATTTACATCCCTGCCAAGGCATCCAGCTGGCGCCAGTGACACAACTGAGCCTCTTCGGGTTTACTAACTGGAGAGATCAAGAAATATCAACACAAGGCCGCTCCCCGTGCGGTGATCTGCTGCTCCACCCGCCCGTCCCCGTGTCGCGCTCTGAGCCCCAGGCGTCAGGGCAGAGTTTGGGCTCGTTCCTCCTGCTCCTCGTCCATGGCAGAAGGCAAGTCTGGGTGGGCAGAATCCAGCTGCGCTAAGCTAAGCGGTGGCGTGGAACTGGAGGAAAGTGGGGAGCCCAGAGGGTCTCCACGCCCTCAGTTTCGCAGGTTACCCTGGCCCTCGGCAGGGCAGCTTCATGGGCTGCCACGTGTCCTGGAGGCCTCTGCTGCCGGGCACAGGCCTCTGGCACCTCCAGTTCTGCTCCCGCCCTGTCAGCCCCTCTCTCATCGCACCGGGCACAATTTAGCCTCCTATTCTTTGTGTTTAAAGCAGAAGGCCCGGGCTTCTGCTTCAACCACAGGAGGGCCGGCGTTCCAAGAGATGCAGATACAAGCCACAGACGTGATTCCAGGTTTTTTTTTTTTTTTAATCAGTGTGTATGGTCACAAAGTCATCCAACACACCGAATGCAGGCACCACTCTAGGCCACTCTACCTACTGATATGACCGCAAGTCGGGGAAGTGGCTCAGAGACAGTGGCCACAGAGGAGCCACTAGCTGTCCGGCTGGGTACACCGGGCCTTACCCTGAAAACAGCAGACGTGGCCAGCTGCTGAGCCAGGCATCGTGGGAAGGGCTTCGCACACTGTTTCCTTCGTGCTTGGCTCGCCCTGACAGTCAGGGTCCCGGTCCCCATCTAAAGACAGGACAAGGAGGATGAGAGGCTGCTGAACTTTATCGTGGTCCCGAAGCTGGTGTCCAGCAAAGGTGGCCTGGAAGCCTTGCCATGGCCCTGCACAGTGGAGACATGTGGTCCTTGTCCCCTCATCTCAGGACACTTACAGCCAGCTCCCAGGGAAGCTTGCTCACCTGCGAGGTCCCAGTCTTCACCCACCCCTGGAAGGCCAGTGGGTGGGCGGTCAGCCCACGTGGTGGTGCTGTTAGAACCAGTGACCAGCAGATGGCAGTGCTCACCCTGCTTTTCCTCCCACCCCCAAGAGCTCTGGGGTCTAGTCCCTAGTGGACCTTCTGGGAAAGAAACCACCCAGCTCCCTTCTTCTTTCCTTCCCTCCCCCACTCAGCAGGCCCAGCCCCAGGGGCAGGTTGAGCCAATGGCCGGGGCTGCCACCACCTTTCCGAGTGTGGATGCCAGAGCTGTTGCCCTGGTTACTGGGGGTTACTGGGAAGAGGCAGCCCTGGGTTGAGTATGGGAAATTCCCCGGAACCCAAGAAAGCCTGGCCTGGGGCATCAGACCAGGGCTGAGTGCACCCAGCAGTCGCCTTCCCACACCAGTGGCCCAGGCAGCTCCCCCAGGTCTTTCTGGGGCGATGTCCGCAGCACATACCCAGCTGTGTGGCAGCCAGCCTCGCCAGGTGAGTGATGGCAGGTAGCTCTGACTCCCTTCCCAGGAAGGCCATCCTTCTGGGGTGAGCCCAGGCCAACCTGGGGCCCTGCCTCCTCCTCCCAACCCTCTCTTCAGCTCTGAGGCAAAGGCCAGGGGCCATGGTGGGTCCCGCCCAAGGACAGGCTCCTGGCTAGGCCCCCGGCAGCGTCCCCTCATGTCTAGAGAGTGAACCCCGCTTGTGTCACCCTCGTTGTGTTTGGGAAGGGCCTAGAGGATTGCTGCCCAGGGTTCTAGGCTGGATTTGAATTCCAGTTTTCACCCTCCGGAGCCCCAGCCACCACACCTGGGGGCATCTATCATATTCTCAAATATCACTTGGCTGCCAGGACCCAGAACGCCCAGTGGTGTACAGGACAGAGGCTGAGTGTCTGTCCTGCCTCATCAGGGTGCCCTGAGCTCCAAGGAAGAAGCTGCACCTCAGATCACAGAGGGGCCCCCAGCAGACGCGCTCATGGCAGCCGGGCTGGGGATGACCACTCCCCTCCTTGGGCACCTGGCCTCTCAGGGGCACAGCCCCGGCAGGCACAGGGCTCCTGTGCTCTTGTCTAGAGGTCTGGGTGTGGCTGGGGACGGTCCAAGCTCCAGGGGTTGGAGGCCACTGCCAGGGAGCTCAGGCAGGCGGAACCCAGCTTCACCCCCTGAGCGGCACCAGCCCAGTGTCCAGGCCCATGCTCTCAGATGCCGTGTAGCTCCCAGGGCAGTGGCCACCTGGGGCCGTCCAGGACAGGGAGTGTCCATCCCCGCAAGGAAGCAAGCACGGACTGGGCAGCACCTGTCACAAGCGAGGTGTGGAACAGCCAGTTGGCCAGAGGGTCATTCAGATTCTGAGACCTGAACCAGAGCAAGCCGAGTGCTCCCGCAAGGGCGGCGTGGACAGCACAGCGCCCTCCAGGGGAAGGATTCGGGGTGGGAAGGTGGGACCACCTCTCCCCATCCAGACCAAGAAACGCCACCCCACTCTACCACGTGCTTGTATCCACCCTGCTCCCCTCCCCCATCGGAGCCCACCCCACTTCTTCCTGAGGAGGTGTGGGTTGGGGGTTAGGGTTCTGGAAGTGTGGGTGGTAGTAAGCTAATGAAGAAGCTCACCGTTTCCGCCTGTTTCCTGCAGGTTCTCAAGCAGCTGTACCTTCCTGGGGCCCATCAACAGCTTCCTGGGACCCAGGGGCGCCCTGCAGGGAATTGCCCCTGCGGGTGTCCTCGGGTCTGCTCATGGGGGCTCGGCTTCAGGGAGTCACTGAGGAGGCCTGGAGCTCCTCCTGGCATCTTGCTGCCCTTCAGGGAGGGTGTTGGTGGACTGACGTCTTCCACGGCTCCAGGGAAGCCCTGAGCAGGACAGCCAGGGGCCTGGCTGCCGGCTGTGGCTGGCCAGGCCGCCAGGTCACATCCGGTCACCAAGCAGCGGCCACCCTCTCCGGTGAGGCTGGCCTGCCCCGCTCAGTGGCCCTGGCGCCTTGGGCAGGCCCTGCTGGCGGTCAGATGGCCGCACAGGTGCTTGAGCTCCAGCGACAGCAGCAGCAGGAAGGAACCTCCTGGGTCAGACTATGTCTTCACCTCGACCTGAAAGTTCTTTGCTCTGCCATGAATTTCCCAGAGCGACACGGGAAGGCAGGCCACTGCTTCTCCACTGGGGTTGGGAAGGGCCTATGGAACAAGCCGCTCACTGTGGACTGGGCATCCAAGGGCTGGGCAATGGCAGTTGGTGCTTACAGCCTCTGCCGCTCACCAGGTGACTCTGGGCAAGGTGTAACTTTTTTGTGACTCAACTCTCCTTGTGACTGAAGTAGAACGACTAACACCTGCCCCCCAGGACAGCAGGAGCGAGAAGGAGGTGACAGGAGGTGCCATAGTTGGTATTCAGAGAACAAATGTTTTCTGTGACTGAGGAAGGAGAGGAGCCAGCGAGGACCCCAGCAAGTGCCCCTGGACCTCCCTCCTCTGGGCTCAGCGCCCCAGTGTCCGCTGTGAGGGAAACGCGCACCCTTGCCTCTGACTGGGTGTACAGCTGCAGGAGAGTTCTGGCTGGGCGTGAGGCCCAGGGACCCTGCAGCAGCTGGAGAAAGCAGAGGCACGAAAGGGGCTCGCCTTTGGGGGTGACGCTGAGACAGAACCAGGACTGCTGATGCTGCCGGGGCTCCCGGGGTGCTCATACGAGTCTTAGTGGGTTGAATTGTAAAACAACCAGAGGTTCAGGTGGGGTGCCCAAGGGTGAGGAAGCTGGAACCAGCAGGGATCTAGCACCTGCAGCAGAGGAGAAACCTGTGGGGGGCGCTTGGGGGGGTCCTGTCAGACAAGTTGCTGTGGGCTCAGGCTTGTGCCCGCTGCCCGTGGAGGGAGGGGAGGAAGACAGACATTGGCCACCGACTCTCTGGCAGCTCTCAATCCTGGTTTCATATTCTTACAGCTCTGGGGTCCCCAGCACCTCCCCAGCCCTGGGGACCCCCCCCTCCGCCCGCCCCAGCCCACGGGATTTTCCTGCCCTGCACCAGCCCTGGGCGTGCAGGACTCCCTCTCAACCCCATACTCCAGGCCTGGGGGCAAGTCCCAAGCTGAACCCAGCTGAGGCTCCTCCGCCAGGCCAGGGTGGGGATGGCCCATGAGTTCAGGGGTTCCTGGGAAGGAAGCAGCTAGTGCGGAGGAACTGGGGAGCCTCTGGCGCAGTCAGTCAGGAACTCCCCGCTCCCCCAGCCTCTTCCTGGGTCAGAGTGCAGCAGAGGCTCAGGGGACTTTGGTCCTGTGACATCCGAGCAGGGCTGACCGCCAACACCCACCAAAGTGACCGTGGCCACCCGCCCCACGCCCCATCGAGATTTTGAGTTCCTACACAGAGCAAATTCAATTTCAAAGGAAGCTGACCTGACTGGCCCGTTAAGGGGTCCTTCTGGGGCAGGCCCACATCTGCCTCGGGAGGCTGGCCCCAGGACGCCTGGGAAATCCCGCATCGGAGGGTGCCCGGCCTGCCTGTGGGGCTGAACCCACACTTGCTGGCTCGCTCACCAGGCTGCGCCCGGATCGGCGCCCCCTCCACGAACACACCCTCTGCGCCCCTGCGCTGTGAGAAAGCCAAGGAGCACCCGGCCTCCCCTCGGCTCCCAGCTCTCCGCAGCCTGCAGGATTCTGGCTGCGCCCCAAAATACCCGGTAGCCAGTTTCCACAAGCCAGTCCCCTAGCAGGCAGGCAGAAGGGCGTTACTTGCAATGCACAGACGAACTCGGGGTGCCACTCCCGCGAGGTGGTCTCACCTCTGGGCTGCCTTAGCCATTCCTTCGCTTCTTCAAGGTTTTTGTCTTTGGCTTATGCCCAGGCACGTCCGGGCTCCGAGAACCTCCGCTTCCACTCCGGCTCCTACCCGTCGGTCGTTCCGGCCCTGTCCTCCTTAAGGGTCACTTGCTCTGCTCTGCACCCCTTTCCCCGCCCCGATCTTTGGGGACCCGGGGCAGGGCGGGGAGTATCCGAACCCGGGTTCCCAGACGCGCCGCGCCCTCGAGGCCTGAGCGCGGCGCCCCCGGCGGCGCACGGGTGGGCGG